AAAAAAAAAAAAATGGGGGGGGGGGGGAGAAGATATAACAACTACAATTACTTGAAGCTGATACGACAAGCAAACAGAAAGGACATTGTTGGGTGGGAGGGAGGAGAGGGAGGGAGGTTTTGGTAATGGGCCACAATAATCAACCACAATGTATATCGACAAAATAAAATTATAAATAAATAAATAAATAAAGATATAGAACATTTACACCACCCCAGAAAGCTCCTTCAGGCCCCTTCCCAATCAATGCCCACCTCCAAGTCATATTCTGGCTTCTATTACCATAGATTAAGTTTTGAACTTCTTATAAATGGAATCATAATGACAACATTTTGCTCATCATCTCTATGAGATTTACCCATGTTGTCCACAGTAGTAGTTCGATCTCTTTTTTCTTGCTGTGTAGTGTTTGAATATACCACAATTTATTTATCTGTTCACCTGATGATGGACATTTGAGTTGTTTAGTTGTTTCCAGTTTGGAGCTCTTAGAAATAAATTTCGCTGCTATGAATATTCTCGTGTGTGTCTTTGGCAAAAATATACACTCATTTTTATAATATATTAATAAGAGTGGAATTGATGAGTCAGAGGGTATGAGTCTCCTCTCTTAGAACTTACCTACACATCCTGTATTCCTACTTCCAAGTATCATAAAAGTGAGTTTCCATTGATTTTCTTGCCTTATTTTTTCCAATCACCTCAGCTGCAGAAACTAAAGTTTGAGAGCTAGCAAACTGGTACTTTCAAGGTCACAGACTTCTGATTTCCCATGATTTTTTCAAAATAATTGCTAGTGACTCAGTAACAACATTTGTTCTTTCAGTACCTTAGGTTAATTGTTAGTTAATACAGCTGATTTAAAAAAAAATTCAAGGGCCGGCCCATGGCTCACTCGGTAGAGTGCGGTGCTAACACCAAGGCCATGGGTTCGGATCCTATATAGGGATGGCCGGTTCGCTCACTGGCTGAGCGTGGTGCTGACAACACCAAGCCAAGGGTTAAGATCCCCTTATCGGTCATCTTTAAATTAAAAAAAAAAAAATTCAGATTTTTGAAGCACTCTACCCTTTTCTTACCTCTTTTACCTTATCTTGCACTATTTCATCAGTCTTTAAAGCACCTAATCTTGAATAATCTGAAGTGCTACAAAATACATACTGCATTTGTAATTAATTGTAAGATTGTGAAAGTGATCCTTCAGTGCCCGAGCATTTCAAAAAATTCTTCTTCCCAAAGCAACTTTGGCTTGCTGGTATTTTAAAAAATAATTAATTTTTACTTGACAAATAATAACTCTGTATATTTATGGGGTACAGTGTGATATTTTGATCTATGTATACATTATAGAAAGATTCATTCAAGCTAATTAACATATCCATCACCTCACCAATTTATCGTTTGTGTGTGTGTTTCAATTTATCATTTTTTGTGGTTTGTTTTTATTTTGCTTGCTGATTAAAAAAACTTTTTAATTGACACTGTAATAATATGTATGTATGGCGTACAATTTGCTGTTTTGATACAAATATGTTGTATAATGAGCAAATCAGGGTATTTAGCATAATTTTTTTCTTTTAAAGTGTATTTTGCTTTTTTTTTTTTTTAAAGATGATCAGTAAGGGGATCTTAACCCTTGACTTGGTGTTGTCAGCACCACACTCTCCCAAGTGAGCCATGGGCTGGCCCTTTTGCTTTTGAGTTTTAACAAAAATAATTGTTTAAACTCTGTTCTTTTTCCTCACCAATTTTCATTTCAGATGATACCATCTTCCAGAATCCTATGGTACAAGAAGCTATACGAATGGGATTCAATTTCAGGGACATTAAGAAAATAATGGAAGAAAAAATTCAGACATCTGGGAGCAACTATAAATCACTTGAGGTTCTGGTTGCAGATCTAGTGAGTGCCCAGAAAGATAGTACACAAGATGAATCAAGTCAGACTTCATTACAGAAAGGTATGATTACTGTTTTTTTTTGTGTGAGGTTTATTTTGTTTTTTTTGTTTTTGCTTTTGGCAGCTGGCCAGTGTAAGGATCAAACCTGGACCTTGGTGTTACCAGCACCATGCTCTAACCAACTGAGCTAACCAACCAGTCGTTTTTTTTTTTTTTTTTCATGGCTGTTTTTAAAAAGCAGGAAAAATTTAACAGCACTTTATTAAGGATAATAAAAAGTCATATCTTATATGACTTTGTGGCCCATTCATTTCCCTCCTTTCACATCCCCCTTAGGGTAAGCATTTTTTCTTAACTTATTATTTTGAAAATTTCAAACACACACAAAAATGGAGAAAAGGTATAATGAGCCCTCATGTACCTGTCAGCCAGCTTCAATAATTATCAATGCTTTTCTAATTTGTTTCATATCTTCCCCCAACTTTTTTTGCTGCAATATTTCAAAGTAAATATTAGACATCCTATATATCATTACCTATAAATACTTCAATGTATATCCAACAGATAAGGATTTTTTTTTAAATATAACCTTAATGGGCCAGCCCGTGGCTCACTCGGGAGAGTGCGGCACTGGTAGTGCTGAGTCCGCGGGTTCAGATCCTGTATAGGGATGACCAGTGCGCTCTACTGGCTGAGCGTGGTGCAGACGACACCAGGGCAAGGGTTGCGATCCCCTTACCGGTCAGAAAAATAATAATATATATATATATATAACCTTAATGCTGTGTGTTAGTCTGCCCAGAATTTTATAACATAATACCATAGACTGGGTAGCTTAAAGAACAGACATTTATTTCTCACAGCTCTGGAGGCTGAGAAGTCTAAGATCAAGGTGCTGGCAGATTGGACTCCTGGTGAGGGCCCTCTTCCTGGCTTGCAGATGGCTGCCTTCTTGCTGTGTCCTCACATGGTGTGGGGATGGGGGGAGAACAAGATGGAGCAAACACTCTGATCTTTCTCCCTCTACTTATAAGGACACTCATGACCTCATCTAAACCTAATTCCCAAAGGCCCCACATCAAAATACCATCACATTGGGGGTTAGGCTTCAACATGTGAATTTTGGGGAACACAAACATTCAGCCCATAACCTACTTATTATACTTAACAGAATTAAAGTAATTCCATAATATCATTTGAAACCCAGTTGGTTTTAATTTTCCCCATTGTCTTAAGATGTTTTTATAGTTGACTTTTTAAATTAGGATCCAAGTAAGTGCCACTGATCTATTCATTTTAAAAGTTTAAGTCTATGCTCTATTTTATTTTATTTTATTTTATTTTTATTTTTTTAAAAGATGACCGGTGGGCCGGCCCGGTGGCGCACTGCTACAGTGCGCCGCTTGGGAGCGCGGCGGCGCTCCCTCCGAGGGTTCGGATCCCACATACAGACCGGTTCCCGCTCACTGGCTGAGCGAGGCGCGGGAGCAACACCGAGGTTTGCAATCCCGTTGCCGGTCCCCGGTCCGGTACGGGGGCAACACTGAGGGTTGCGATCCGTTGCTGGACACGGAAAAAAGACAAAAAAAAAAAAAAGTTTATTTATTTTTGACATACGAAAGACCCTTTTGATCTTTAGGTTATTTCAGGTGGTTTTGAAACATTCAGGTAATATCATGTCATAAAACAGCAGTGAACATTAATGATATTTAAAATTACATCAGTTGAGGACCGGCCCGTGGCTCACCCGGGAGAGTGTGGTGCTGATAACACCAAGGCCACGGGTTTGGATCCTGTATAGGGATGGCCGGTTAGCTCACTGGGTGAGTGTGGTACTGACAACACCAAGTCAAGGGTTAAGATCCCCTTACCGGTCATCTTTTTAAAAAATTTTTTTTAAAAAAATTACATCAGTTGATGTAAAAGACTCAGCAGAAAGCTTAATACTCTTTCCTTAAAGATGCATTTATTTAAAACCAATGCAAGCTTCACTTGTCTTGGTGGTGGTAAAATAGACCATTTACTTGGTCATATTTCTACCTTTTTTTTTTTTTTTTTTTTGCTCTTAAAATTTTTTTTTTTTTTTTTTTTTGGCGGCTAGCCAGTATGAGGATCCGAATCCATGATCTTGATTTTTGTTACAAGGCTGCACTCTAACCAACTGAGCCTGGCCAGACTTGACTTGGTCATCTTTCTACTGTAATAGAAATATAAGCAATTGTGTTATTTTTCTGCACCTTAAACACAACTCAAACTTAGTTATGTTTGTCCATAAGGTGTTAGTTTTTATAATCGAAGGTGTGGTCTGTAATAGAAGAATTTAGTGGGTTACAATATGAAGAGAATAAAGGACACAGTGCTTTAGTGAGGTGTCTTTTTCTCTGGCCAACAAAAATTGATGGGGGCACTTTTCTCTGAGACTACGAACTAGGATGGTGTGGGAAGGAGGGCCTAAGCAAATGGCAGCCCTCAGGAGCAGGGATTGGAATTCATCAGTTGACCCCTCCTTAGTCTCACTAAATTCAGAGAAGGTAATTGATACAGGCTATCTACTCATACTGGGGCTCCTGCCTATTTCTCTTCCCAAAGGCTAATGAGGAAAGACTGGCACTAATAATCTTTTAATTCTATATAGAATAAAGGTGGGCCTAATTGAAGTGAAGCATGTGAAATGTATTAGTAAAAGTATAACGTTTTTATCACTTTCTGAGAAATCCTAGATTCAGTGCTAGCTTTTTTCCCCATGGCTTTGTGACAGAGAATCCATAGTAAACTGTTGTAAAAATAGGACCAAGTCAGTATCTTTTTCTTTTTCTTTCTTTTTGAAAATTACATAGTGTGAGATAAAGCCTTTTACTTAGTGTATGTGCTAAGGTACTTATTTTAGCCTTTATGTGTATATTACTATTATAATATAAAAATCAAGTAACCCATATTCATTTCTTAACCTGTCTTTCCACATGGATCTGTACTACTACTTGTAGTAAAATGATAACAGCAATTTATTCTAGAAGAGGATTAAAATAATGTAGTAAAAAATTAGCAAATAACATCAAAATTTATCTAGCTGTTGCCTTTATTGCACGTGTGCCAGGAACCTCCCAACCTAGAAGAGGGCCTTGTGGGAAGTAGAAGGGGAAAGGTACCAAAGGGAAGGATATATTTAGGATCCAATAGTTATTGTTAACGCTGGAGTGAAGTGATTGCCAGAGATAAACTATTAGTCTGGAGGAAAGAAAATCTATACTCTTGGGCTGGCCGATTAGCTCACATGGTTAGAGTGGGGTGCTGATAACACCAAGGTCAAGAGTTTGATCCCTGTATACTGGTCAGCTGCCAAAAAAAAAAAAAATCTATGCCCAGAACAACATTATCTGAAGTAAGTACCTGTATACAAGGCTGAAATAAAGTAGAAAAAGTAGAATTGATACTCTCAGTGTTTGGTAGACATTGCATTTCATTCCATTGGGTCAGTAAAATGGAATCACAATCAACCAAAAGGAACCTTAAAGATCATAGTATAATTTTGATTACTTCAGTGAGAATCCTGAAGTGCAGATGGATTGTTGCCCAAGATTACTGAACTGTATACTTAAGATAGCTAAGATGGTAAATTTTATGTGTATTTTACCACAATTAAAAAAAATAAAAACACTGGATCAGAGGTCAGAAAATCTGAATTTCTACTCCCAACTTTCTGAGTGTTAAGTACATACACATTATTGTTCAACCAATCTCCAGAACTCTTTTCATCTTGCAAAACAGAAACTCTAGGTCCATTAAACATCAACTCCATCCCCTATGCCGCTCCCTCCAACCCCTGGCAACAACCATTCTGCTTTCTGTCTATAAATTTGACTACCGTAGGTATCTGGTCCGGTGTTGTTGTTTTGTTTTTACTCGTTGCAGCATCACATCCAAAAGTAATGTGTACATTACTGAATTATTTTCCTCCTTTTGATTTTTTTTGGCATGAATATGTACTTCATTTCTGACTTTTTTTGGTGTTGATGCTTTCATATAATATAAATCAGCTTATAGTACCATCCCTTTACCTATGTTGTTTCCTGTGCCCTGAATGCCTTTTCCCTGTCTGCATACCTCATCCCATTCCCTGTTCCATCCCCAATTCCTTCATCCTTCAAGACTCGACATAGAAGTCACTTCTTTCAAGTCGTTTTCAGTACCCACAGCAAAGTTAGGAGCTGCCTCTCTACTCCTGGTGCTGGTAGAGCATTTTTTACATTGTTTTGGAACTGTTTTCTTTTCTGTCCTACACATTAGATTAAGCTTTTTGAGGGCAGGTACCTTGTCTTCTTATCTCTGATGCATTCTATTTTTGAATCTAATTTTTTCTGTTGCTGTTTTTGGCAGCTGGCTGGTAAGGGGATCCCAACCCTTGACTTTGGTGTTATAACACTGCGTTCTAATCAACTGAGCTAACCAGTCAGCCCATGAGCTTATAGTTTTTATTATCCAAGGAGGTAGCTTTTTAAGAAGAAAGGAATTGAATAATCCTTTCCTCCACCCCCTAGCCAGAGAAACCTTCCTGAAGCACAAGTATGATCATATCTCTCTCCAGTTTAAAACTTTTTTTTTTTGTTTGTTTGTTTGTTTGTTTGTTTTCCTTTTTGTCTTTTTTTTGTGACCGGCAACGGATCGCAACCCTCAGTGTCGTGCCCGTACCGGACCGGGACCGGCAACGGGATCGCAACCCTCGGTGCTGCGCCCGCACCTCGCTCGGCCAGTGAGTGGCCGGTCTGTATGTGGGATCCGAACCCTCGGCAGGAGCGTCGCCGCGCTCCCAAGCGGCGTACTGTAGCAGTGTGCCACCGGGCCGGCCCCAGTTTAAAACTTTTTACTGGCTCCCAGGGCCCTCAGGATCAAGTCCAAACTCCTTTACAAGGCTTGCCAGATTTTTCGTGATCAGACTATTTTTCCCTCAAATTCCTTTTTTTTGTACTTTTTTTTTTTTCCCCGGCAGCTGGCTGGTAAAGGGGATCTGAACCCTTGACCTTAGTGTTACAAGGCCATGCTCTAACCAACTCAGCTAATGGGCCAGCCCTTTACCCTCAAATTCTGTGCTGAAGCTTTATCTGTGCACTCTTGGAGCTTCCTTATGCCATTTCTTCTACACAGAACACTCTTTTCCTACTGCCCTTGGTCCCCAAGGCCTTCTCCCCCTACTCATCCTTTAGGACCCATTTTATGTATAATTTCCTCTAGGGAGCCTTTCTTTATGCATGTGTGCATGTACGTATGCACACACACCCTTCCTGTGCCCTTCATAACACATTGTAATTACCTTTGTTATCATACCATGTTATAATTTCCTGTTTACTTGTGTTCCTTACTTGTCTATGAACTATTGGGAGCTGAAGGTCTATATATTTGTCAGTTGTATCCCTAGTGCCTAGAACCTAGTTAAGTGTTCAGTAAGTATTTGTTAAATAAAATTATTGTTTCCCAAACATGTTTTCCAGTAGTGTCCCCAGATTGTTAAAAGGGATGCCATGAAAAAGGAGCTCCATAGTTAAATAGGGAAATGCATTGTACATTTCCAAGAGGAGACATACACTGTACTCTACCGCACTGTACTTGATGACAGTGGTTCCCAAATGCCAATATGCTCAACCCCAGAAATTTTAAATTTGGTGAAGGGGGCCTAGGAATCTATTGGTAAAAAATACCCTAAGTGATTCTCATGTGAGGCCAGATTTGGAAACCACTGGTATGCGTTGATTATAAAGATAGTTGAAATATGGAATAAATTTGGAGTAGTGTTTAGCACATAGTATTTATGCTATAATTCTGTTTGCTGCTGCTGCTGTAGTTGTCATTATAGTTATATGTGACCACGGAACATTTTTGTGGCATATTTGTTTACATTTCACAAACCTATTTTGGGAAAGGCTGAATTAAGCAAAAACTTCATTGCCACCTATATGCTGAAGACACCCAAATCTCTATCTCTAGACCTGACTTCTCCTGACCTCTATATTTGATTCTCCAACTGCCTACTGGATATCTTTATTCGGATTCTCTGCAAACACCTCAAAAATATCTGAAAATCCCAAACCTGTTCATCCTTCTATATTTCCTGTTAGCATCATCATCTCTCTGTCAGCCAGGCTAGCAACCTTGAAATCAACTTTAGTTCCTCTTCCTTCCTCAACCCTTACGTCCAGTCAGTTACCAAATCCTATTTGTCCCACTTTTAGAAGTATCCTTCAGGGCCGGCCCGGTGGCACACTGGAGAGTGCGCCGCTTGGGAGTGCGGTGGCGCTCCC